CAACTGCAGCTAAATCTAAAGCTATAGATTAAAACTCTGCAGATTTTAACACTCAGATCCTGTCTCCCATTGTCAAAAGAGGGCAGAAATTTAAATTTATTCTCGCAAATGACTACCAATCCCAGCAGATATACTCAGAGTGCACAAGGTCACGTCTCATTTCCAGTATAAAACAGTAAAGCCATTTTTAAACAAAACCGAGATATAAAGAGAAAATATCACATCTTAACAAAAAGTATTTATTCCGACTAAACAAAATGTACAATGTTCCCAAAATGACAGTGAGTTTTCATGACTCTCTGAAGTCTGCAAATCCATTGAGTAACTCGATCACTTCTTACCCTGCAGTTTAATCAAACTACTTTTTGCCAGACTTCTTTATTCCACCACTGGCTGCCAAAAGAAACAACACAGCTGGTTAGACGACTGTGACACAGTTCAGCTACAAATTCAGTTCCTCATAAAGTCGATTCCCCCCTAGGGCGTCTGTACAGCCCAGATCCCCACTGGTTTTCATCTCACACACTTTACTCTGAATGACTTACTTAACATTAGAAACTAAGTTTCTCCTGGAAGCAAATATGCCCCATGAATCTACAACAGAACTAAATATTTCAAGAGTTACTTTGTTCCTCCATTGTTAATGTTTATTTCTTATACAGCAGGAGCATAGTCTGGTCAAATCAAATTCGAGGCTAAGGAAATAAATGCATCATTATCCCTATAGCAACCAAAGCCAAAAGTTGGGATCAAAGCTCTACAGAAGCAGGTACTGGAATGATGAGAATCCTAGTTCTCTGGAATTATCTGTTCCCTGCAGTCCTATTATTGAAGACACTAGAGCAGGGTGAAAGAACACCACGTACTGACACAGCAACAACTGTGGCATTTTTTGTAAATGCTGTTTTTCACCCCATGTGTCAGATACAACCAGTGGGAAGGGAACAGCAAGGCTGCACCAAGACAGGCTGCAAGGGCCGAGGGTCAACAACAGACTGCAGTGCACCATGATTCCAACAGCGATGCCTTGCTGAGGCTCTTGGGAACAGACTGAGCCTGCCACAGTAACACAGCAATCATTACCTGCTTTGGCAGGCATCAGACAAGGACCACATGACTGTCATTCAGCCTAGAAAAAGGCAGAGTAATAATGGCAGGAAAGAACTATGAAGATCTGTGAGTTGAAGCGACCTACACAAAATGAGTTTAGGATGGTAAGGACAGAACAGAGGCTCAAGGAATTCTTTTGCATCACTCTGTAACACCAAAGACATTCTGAGTCCCACACCCACACATTTTTTGTACAGGGATAAATCAGAGGAGCTAGATCAATTTGAGATAAATAAACAAGAACCATCCCAAGTCAGTGGGATCAGATGGCACTTCCTCCAACAGCACCAACAAGTTCTAACGAGAAAATGCAGAACTGCTGGCTAAGATTTGAAACATCAGTACAGCCACAATGTCAGAGGACTCACTGACTGCCAGCAAAGCTCCCAGATACTGAATGGGTTCTGTAAAGAACTGGGTAACTACAGATGCAGTCTGACCTCGATCTGTTAGAAGATAAGAGAGTCTGGAACAAAGCAAAGGGATAAACAGTGTTGTGAAAGTTAACAGGACTTCTGTAAAGAGTAAATCCTTCCTCGGTGACCTGCTGGAACTCTGAGGTTATAATTAGGTGTATGGATAAAGTGAATCCATATCGTCATAATTACATTTTCACACAGCATCCAACAAGATTCCATAGCAAAGGCTGTTAGTGAAACTATGGGACTATTGGAAAGGTCTTTCTGGGACCTTTCAAGACTGAAAGTTTGCTGAAGAATAGGAAGCAAAGTGTGGAGTTGAACAGTCTGTGAGTGCAGACTCACATTAACAGTCTCCTGCTGTCACTGAGACAGAGACTGGGTTCGATGGGCCACCAAGATGCACCCTGCGAACTCTCCTCTGTGACACCACATCCTTTACAGTCTAAAGGCAAAAATGTTGAAGCCAGACTGATTTCCAGCCATCTTTTTTTTTTCCTGCCATGAATCTCCTGCTGTAGAAGAAATTCATCCTCTCAGAGGACAAGCACTGGATTTGTTAAACCTGGAACACTGTGGCAAAGCCTACATATAATACACCTGGAAAGAAAAGGCTGGTATGCTAAAATAAGAGTAGGAGTGTCTCTACACATCCCACCAGAACAGGTCAGCGTGCCAAACACAGTGTTTTACCTGCTAAACCAGAACCTGCATCAGGAATTTGGGGGTGAAACTGCACAGCCCAAGAAAAAAAAGAAAAATAAATAGCCTCTATTTGTTACATATAATCTGTACCTGCCATCAACTTGCTCTATTTCAAATAACCCAGAGGTACCTGCCTTTTCATGTTTGTCAAGAAAAAACATTAAATTTTTGAAGTCAGCAAGTCCTCCATCTCTCCTGTCAGGATGGCACCTCACTTACCCAGAGGCCCTTTTCCAGCAGCTTTTGCTTTCATCTCCTCAAGTTTCTTTTGCTCCTCCTTCTGCTTTTGTTTGAATGCCAGATCTGTCTAAAGAAAAGAACAGCAGCATTTGTTAACATCTCTTCCCCCCACCCAAAATTGCTAAAAATGCAAAACTTCCCAGAACTATCACCAAGGTTTTTGCTGTACCACAACACAATGGCTAAACTTTAACTTTGTATGTTTGGTCTTTCCGGAATTATTTCCCCTGGCATAACCTTGTTCTGAGATTATGATCCCTCTGAATGACAAATGTTTGCACTAACACCATTCACTAACGTGCCATCAGCGGCACATGCAGCCTGGTGCACAGGCACTAACAACAAAACTTGGGATTACATAGGATGTGAGTAAAAAGGTTGCTTTTACCTAAAAAAGCATTAATTTCAAATAAATCCTCTCACACATATGTCACTTTTTGCTGGGTTTAATATATTTGTATTAGTTCCAAGAAATCTATTGAGACTCCTGGCAAAATGTACAGGCAAGCCAGCTGTTGAGCATCCCTATTGGAACAGCCTCTGGAATTCAGGACAGCTCAGACATACTGTGTCCCTCAGACACACATTCTTAACAGATATGAAGACTGAAAGGGAACACAGTCTTTTTCTTGGCCTTCAGGACTTTGGGTAACTAAACTGAGGACCCTGACAAATGAGATTCCATGGACTCTTCACCAATCCAGTCCATGTCTCAACTACCTTTGTAACTGCAAAGCTTTCCTCTTCTTTCAGTTAAAGCTTCTCTTACTGCAATGTCACCCTATTACTTCCCCTACTACTCCTCACAGAACAGAATATTCCGTTTCTATCTCCAGGTTTTCCTGTTTGTTGTTTTATGTCCTGTAGGCTAAAGTGGCCTTCCTAATAAATTAATCCCTCACGTTTATTCACTTCTGTGGGTTTTTTTCTTGCAATGTGTTGCCCCCAAGTACTTGCAGTATTGCAGGGCTGAGAGGAAAAATAAATATTACATCATGTTTGACACACAAGACTTTTTTTTATATATCTTTATGATTTTCTTCTTTTGCAACACCTGATTTTGCAGGTGTTCAGTATATGATCCTTTCATGTGGACCTGCAGTTTAGCCAGTCAGTCTGCTCATATTTTATAACTTGATCAATCTTTTCAAAGAAAGGGACTTAGCATATATGCTTAGTTAAATAATCCATTGTTTTTCAAGCTTTCTCCGATTTGTTAAGATTTCTTTGAGCACTAGTCTTGTCTCTGACAGTCTATGGCCCCTCCAAGTTTTCTGTTTCCTACCAAAAGAATAAGCCATATTGTCAGTCAGTCAACCACCCAAGACACCAATCAAAATATTACTCAGACTCTGATCAAAATCCTTCAAAACCTCACTGAGCACATCCTTGCAGACAATGCTTTGAGAGTGTAGCATTTCAGCAAGCTGCACCATCACCTTCTATCACCTTCCAAAGCCTCATTCTTGCCTTGCATTTGAGAACACTACATGAGTTGGCATCAATAACCTCATATCTCCTGGGGTTTATTCTCATGCACTGAGCACTGCCCTGCTACAGGAGAGAATCTCCTTTGTTTGCCACAGTTTTATTAAAATCCACAATGGCTGTTAATTTTTACATTACTATAACTTGGATCTTTGTAAGCCCTTAATTGGTTCTACCATTCTCTAACAATAAAGCTTATTTAGAAAGCTTTGATTTTTTTTTCCCTTTTTCAAAGAGACACGGTATTTGCCTTTTTCCAGTCAGTGGTGCCTCATCCATCATCCACTATCCTCAGAAATAGCAGCTGACACCCATACTCTGAGCCCTTATGTTTGAGTATTTCTAACACACGATCCACTAGCACTTAATTTATTCAAACTACTTTGTTTGTACCCTGTCTCAGGCTCCTGGTACCATAGTGATGATCTGATAGACTTCAGATCGCAGCAAGGGCATTCCAGGCTCCTCCATTAGCCAGCACTGCTCCATCCACGAGGAACACGGGCGGGATGCCACCGCAGAATGGTTTGGGTTGGAAGGGACCTTGAAGATCATCCATTTCCAACCCCTTGCCATAGGGAGGGGCCACAGAGAGGGCCACGTCCAACCTGGCCTTGAACACTTCCAGGGATGGGGCACCCACAGCTTCCCTGGGCAACCTGTGCCAGGGCCTCACCACCCCCGCAGCGAAGAATTTTTTCCTAAAATCTCATTTAAACCTACTCTCTTTCAATCTGAGGCCATTCCCCCTTGTCCTGTCACTTAGATGCTCTTGTAAACGTCAGGGAACACCCCACGCAGCCGGGCCCGCCGGGGCTGAGCCCCCGGGGCCTCCCCCGCCGCCCTACCTCATCCAGGTCCTTCGTCTGCTTCTTCGGCTGCTTCAGCGGCTTCTTCTTGCCGCCTGCAAAGACAGAGGACACAGTGAGGGCCGGGCAGGGCCGGGCGGGCGGCACCGAGGGGTCCCGGGCCCGTCCTTACCCTCCCGGCCCGACATGGCTCCGCTCGCTCCGCCCGCCGCTCCCGCCCCTTCCGCCACCGCCGCCGCTTCCGCCGGGGCCGGGGCAGGTACGGGAGCGGCGGGGCCGGGCCGGGGGGCGGCGGGGAAAGGGCCCCCGGGCGGGGAAGGGGGTCGGTCATGGGGGAGAACCCGGCTGCGGGTTGGGGGTGCGCGGCGGGAATTCTGGGTTCGCCTTTTTTTGGCCAGGATGAGACGGGACCCGTAAGAAAGGGTCTGGCTCGCCACCGGCTCTCGGCGTGTGCGGCAGCTTTTGGAGGCGTGTTCGTGAAGGGCTGCAGGCGGAAAAAGTGTTTCTTACAAGGGAAGCAAGAGGGGAGCCAGGCAGGTTATCTCAGGTTAACCTCTCCTAACTTTCTTGTGTCCTGTGAGCTCAGGCCGAGATCACTTTCTTCGCTGGCTGTATGTGACTTGTCTGCACAGAAATTCTCCTTAAAATCTCAGCTTTCTCCCTCTTTTGCTATGCTCCAGTAGGCTGAACTTTTGCTAAAGCTCTTCGTGTAGTAATGCGATTAAAAGAGGGGAATTTTGCAGTCTGGAACAGGCAAAGTTGAGCTGAGGTTTAGTACGTGGCCTGCAACATAAGAGTAGGTGTTGTAAACAGGGACAGGTGTGAGTGATGCTGGAAGGAGAGAGAACTCACTTCATTTCCATGCCTTGTGGGTTTGATCTTCTGTGTTGCTATGCATATAAAACAACTGCTAAGATTTTCATAGGGCCACTTGGTGTTATTACTATTTGTTAGAAATACTCAGCAGGGAATGAACTTGTGGTGTTCAAAATTAGCTATCCAGCTAAAAAGCTGATGAAAAACCATTTTCCAGTTGGAACAACCCTTTCTTGTGGAGATGCCTATATAGCCACCTAAAATTAACATTGTTTTATTGTTTTAAAATAATTAAAAATATTCTGCAACAGCTATCAAGCTTTCTCAGCAATTCCTGGTTTTATACTTTATTAGTCAAAACCTAATATAGTCATACTCAAATTTCATATTAAATCTTATTTGAAAGTTTTCCTGTTTCCAGTTTTTGGAGGAATGTACTCAGTAGAAAATTAAGATCATATTTACAATAGTAGACAATAAACCATAACTAGCAGCCTGCTTTTGCAGTGTAGGCAAGAATTTTAAGCTCATTTCAAAATGGAGCCCAGCTGTGTGTTTATTATGTGAGATTTTTCTGATCTTGTTGCTCTTCCTTTTGTAGGAAGTGCCTTTTATAGGCACTCTCATGGGAACACTTCTTGTGTTCAGTTCAGCATTTATGTGTTTTTTATTTTTCCTTTATTTTTGTCTGTGCAGCCTTCAACACATCATGTATCTGGCACACTGTGAGATAAAGGAAATGATCGAGCCACACTTCTTTTATTAACAAGATTTTTTCCCCTCTCTGTCTTTTTTCTTTTTCTGTCTTTTGTAGAGTTGTGAGTACCTGTGAAACCACAAGGCAGAATTTCATAGTGTTGTCACTGCTGTGCTGAAGCACTAAATTCTTCTGAAGCTACTCCTGCTGGCCCTGGATCTGCACATGATTGGTGTTCACACAGTGAGTGAATTAGTAATCAAGAAGCATGAAGCATGGTTGGGAGTACTTCCTAACAGCAGAAAAGCAGGAATCTGTGGCACAATTGCACTTTATTGAAATCGTGGAAAATTTTCTAGGTAAGCAGTGGTGTAAAACCAGCAATGGTTTAGCCATTCTTGAATTGGTTGGTTTTGGTACACATGTAGTTAGTTTTAAGAGCTGTAAATCAGCTATACTTCAATAACTTTTATTTTTCTTCTTCTTACTTGTAGCACATTTAGTCAGTGATTAAGTTGAAGACATGGGGCCAATGAAATACAAATCAAGTGTGTCCTCAGTGTCCTGTGGCCTGCAATACCACCATTCATTGATGAAGTGGAGTCCCAAAATGAATTTACATGTTGTGAGGACTTACTGCTCCTCAGAGCCCAAGAGGCCTGAAGCCAAGTCTGCCATAGAAATGGCCATGGGCCTCCTTCATCGGCTCACAGAAACTGGGACTGTGATAGGAAAAAACTCCCTTCAGAAAGTGTCTGCAACATGCAAGAATTGGTGGGACAGATATGAAGAGTTTGTTGGAATTAATGAAGTTCGAGAGGCTCAAGGAAAAGTAACAGAGGTAAACATGAAGATAATGTGGAATTTTAAAACTTATGAGTTAAGCTATATGAAGCATAATCACTGGCTGTGAGGCAGAAAAGATCCTCCAAGGAGAATCATGTCTTTTTTACTGCTTTGACTGTCTGTGCAGGTACTGTGAATGTGTTCCAGGCTATGCATGTAGTAAATAGAGCTTATCCCTTGGATTGAAATGGAGTGTGGTTTGTTTTGTTGTTGGTTTTTTTTCCTCCCCCTCTGCCCCGGACCCCCCTCACCTCCCCAGAAAAATTGTATGAATAGCAATATAGGACTGTATGGTAATAAGTTTCTAAAATAAATGCTCTTTCTTCTCAGGCAGAAAATGTCTTTATGATAGCTCGAGGGATAGTACGAGAGGCTCGTGAAAATGTAGAAGCCCAACAGATTAAACTGAAGGAAATTCGGGACCGCTTAGACAGGGTCTCTCGGGATGACACCCAGTATTTAGAACTGGCTACTCTGGAACACAGGTTGCTGCAGGTAATTTGTTGGTACTTTAGCACTGGCAAATATGTTGAAAATTTGTGTGCTTTGCTTCCATCACTGGTGGCTGTTTTTGTAGATGCAGTTCAGTTCTGAAGAAAGTGATCCGAGGTAATTTCTTAGGATCCTTGCTTTAGTTAATTATTATCAGTGGTTTGATCCACTATGCAAATTGTATATGTTAATGCTAAAATAGGGTAGTAAATTTGGAGAAGAAACTGTAGATAATGAGCCTAGAGAATTAGTTGTTGTAGTGGGGACCTGTACATGAGTAGTCAAGAAAAAGCTGCCATTCAGTGAATTAACCTTCCATATGATGAGAGAAACTCTTTCTGGTTAATCCATGAAAATTCAGCTGCCTTTTCTGTGGCTGAGACACCCAGGAAATCCAGATGAAACTGCAGGAACAGCAGGAGCAGGCTTAGAAGCAGGTACAGCTGTGGCAAAGTTCATGCAAGGAGTGAGTACCAATGTCTGAGAGAAAACTGAGCTCCTGCATCAGTGGGTAGAACACTGGGAAAGAACTAGAGAGCTGTAGTTGTCTAAATGTGGGATCAGATTTGTCTGGATGAGACTTAAAGAAGAACTCTGAGCTCTGCATGACCATGAAGAAGGGTAGAATTCAAGTCACTGCTGTCTGTAAGGTGGTGGTGCCATCTCACAAAGGAAATATGTACTTGGAAAAATAATTCAGAGAGAGGCAGGAGGAAAGGGAAGATGTTTGTCTGTAAAAAGGGTAAAATACAGAATGCAGAAGAATAAGAAGTGTGTTCATCAGATGAAACTGAGATGTCCTTTTCAGTCCTATTTTCAGTTCCCTCTGAAGGGATTTGAAAGTGAAAGGTGTAGTAAGGGTGGTGTCTGGAGAAGTTATCAGGGCTGAAAAAGTGAACTCATACCCTTTTTCTGTCATCAGCACTTGGCAGATTCTCATGTACAGGATCTTCAGCTGTGATTCCTGACAACCTTTTCCATTTCTCAATTTTGACTTAAAATGATGTCTCATTGACTTAAGTAGGATTAATAAAGAAAATCCCACATTCAAGGGAAAATTTCTGAAACCAAACTAACGGATGTTCCCAATTTTCCTTCTTTCATCTGCATCAGGGTTTTGGGGCTTATGGGACTTTTTTAATTTATTATAGACTGTATAGCTTCATATTATACCTTCTCCTTTAATCACTATATTTCTTGCAGGAAGAGAAGAGGTACCGAGCTGCATATTTAAATGCAGAAGAATCAGAGAGAGAAAAATTCTCTCTCTTCTCTGCAGCTGTAAGGGAAAGCCATGAGAAAGAGCGCACAAGAGCTGAAAAAACTAAGAACTGGTCTATTATTGGTTCTGTGCTGGGAGCCGTTATAGGTGTTCTTGGTTCCACCTATGTAAATCGAGTAAGGCTGCAAGAATTGAAAGTCTTGGTGCTTGAAGCACAAAAGGGCCCAATAAATTTACAAGAAGCCATCAAAGAACAGGCCTCCAGCCATTACTCACAGCAGAAGGATCTCAGTGATGTCATAGAAGACCTGAAAAATGTGCTGCAAACAACAGCATCGCGAGGAGTAAAAGAGGGCGCTTTGTTAACTAGAGAAACCAGGAATGACTCCATAAAAATAGATTCACTTTTAACTCCTTTAAACGAACAGCTAAACTACATTAAACAAGTCAGTTCATGTCTAGGGAGTTTACAGCAGCAGTTTAACAGTCTGCAGGAAAGTATCACACAGGTGCTGACTGAGATGCAGAGTGTCAAACTCGCGATCCGCTCTAGACCTACGGAAAGGGTGATCCCGAGGTCTTCAGGGGAGGGCAAGGGCCAGGCTTCTGCTGTGAGAGATGTGATTTTAGAATTGTGTGATACCGAGCGGAGACTGGAAACACAAATCAAGAGAAGTTCTATTTACAGCACTGCACTGACGTGTGCTATGTTTGCTATTACTCTGCCTGTACTCTATATTATACTTAAAGGGAACTGATCCCTGATTAATTGCCACAATTTACTAGATTAATAAAGGTAAACTTGCACTCTAAGTAGTTAGAGTACAAGTCCAAATAAAGCTGCCTAACATTTCTTGTTATGCCTTCTGTATATTTGAAAATCTTGTAAAGCCGTGGTCCATCTTCTGCTGCAGGATCCGTGTTAAGTCTCTGTCATGTGCTGTGCATGTAACAAGCAAAGGAATTGCCACAGTTGATCTGTTGATTTCATTCACTGTTTCACTCTTACTGTCTAGTCTTACATATCGAGACAGCATCCCCAAATGGCCCTCTGAGCCCCAGATTGCAGCCATGGGACCCCAAATGGCCCCCAGCAGACCCCAAGTTGTTCCCCTTGTTGCTCCCAATGCCCACGTCACCCCACAGCGGTCCCAAATGTCCCCATCAGGCTCTAACTTGCCCTGCTGGGCCCCAGTTTGCCCAAGACAGGCCCCATAGTGTAATCAGGTACATCCCCAGACACTCTGACCCAGCCTCAGCCACGTGCCCTTACCCAGCCCCGACCCTCAGCTCCATGCAGCAGGCACTGCCAGGGCCCATCAGCTGCAGCCCCTGGCTGCCTCCAAGGCCCCTTGAGATTCTGGGCTTCAGACACGTTTATTGCTGGCACAGCTGAGTGTTGGGGCCCGGCCCCACGGGCTCTGATGTCCTGCCATCCCCACTGTTCCCCTCTCCCCAGCTGGGGGCACAAGGAGATGTCTTTTTCAAGTGGCACAGTGCCAGAGCCGAGCTGAGGTGACCCCCCTAAGTCCTGTGCTCCCCCAGAGCCATCAGTGTCTCCCCATGGCCCCTCTCCTTCTCCAGGACACCATGAGGCTCTACAACCTCTGCACTGCCCAGCACTGTGGCCACTGCTGGACCAAGTGGCAGAGCCTGGGGATATACATGATACACAAAACATGCTGTACAGACATGGGACCTGCATTGTACCTAGAGCTAAATAAAACCAGAAACAAAGAAAAAACTTAAAGGCAAACATTTCTACTTGTTTGGTAAAATGAATCCTAATGTTTTGTGCATGGACAAACTGCAAAGCTGTGAAGAAATCATGAGCAAAAGTAGAGAGGAATACACATGAGGCGTTTAGATCAACGATAGAGTAAAAGAATCATTTGAACTGGAAATCACAAATCCAGCTCCATAATGAATGGTGGAATAAACAGTATTAGGAATGATCTGTGATGATTCACTACCTGTAAGAGAGATGAAGTGTGCAAAAGGTGGTTTTGGGAAGCTCCACTGCTGATTTATATATTGAGTGTTTGGAGTGGGAAGTGAGTAACAAGCGTTTGTCAGGGCAGAAGTTTGATCTACTGGCTTGAAAACTGGGATAAAAATTCCCATACGTTTAGCTGTGTCAAGAAGTGTGCATACAGATCAATAAAATTTTTCAAGTCTATAAGATTTCATTTTATCATTTCACAAATATTTTTACAGGTTGTACTTCTTGCAGGAGCTTGATGAAAATAAGAGGCAAATGTGTAATTAAAGGGGAAGGAATAGTACAATGGTTTTATTTGTAATTTGCCAGCACTAGTCACTAGTCACAAACACAATTTTATTCTGGTTTGTTTGGGTTTTTTTCAGTCTAATGACATAATGTAGGGCCTCCTTACTATGTAACTGGCTGAATTTGTTATTCAATATCACTGAAAGTGTGGATTATATATATATGAACATGGTTTTTAAATGCTGAATGTCAGGCAGCTAAACTTGAAAGTCACGGCAACACTCACTGACTTGTACTTGGTGGCATCAAAAATGAGCAGAGATCTGAGGCTAAACTTGTGTACAATACATGACAATAAAAACCCAAGGATGGTTTATTGCTCTAAAGAAGTCTGCTTTTTACCCTTTTAAAGATGGTATTATGATAGTCAGTAGCTTTAGCTCTACATAGAGTTACAGGAAGCAAAAGTCAGTCAATGACTGTATGAACAGTCAATGAACAGTAGCAAATTAATCTGTGATAAATGATTGTTTGAAATAGCCTAAAGTTTGAGAAGAGCTGGAAGGTGTGATACGTATCAGGATGAAAATAACAGGATCTCATCCGTTATAGGGAGTTTTGAAGACTCAAGAATAGATTCTGTGTGCAGCTCTGTACAGCTGGCAGAGCTCCTTGTTGCAAGCGATTACTGTGGTTCGCTTAGTTCTGCTCTTCCTTGCTAAATCCTCGTATGCGAAGTGACAGCAGAATAATTTCAATTAGGAAAAAACCCTTGTAATTAACTGTGACTATATAATAATTAGGAGAGAAGATTTGTGTATTCCCTCAATCCTGGATTAATCATCACTCCGTTGTGGCAGTGATCTAAATGTGTAGTGTGGCGCTGCACCGTATGTGCACCCCAAAGCCAGAAGGTGTGGCTGCAGCAGTAGCAGCTGTACCTGAGCCGGCTGAAGGCAATATCCAGCAGAATGCTATAACACAGATTATATGTATAATCTGTTTACTACTTTATGCTAAACCTTTGTCATGCTAACGCAGGTGGCAAATACATGAGTTTGAACAAAAGTAGCACAGCTCTCTGGGGGTGTTTACCTGGGCACTCACATTAGTTCAGGTACATTTGCAGTAGCAACAGTGATTTACACAAAGCCGAGGGACATCTCAGTGCATGTTTCCTGATGATTCATCCAGGACTAAGTGAATACTTTGTTACCTGTGCTCTTCTGGGCTACTTCAGTCAAAAAAAAAAAAAGGCATCCTGTTGTTCTGTTGCATACCTTTGGGTTGTTAATAAGGTTCATAATAGATGAGTTTACCTCTGGAACGAGGTTTCTCAGCAGAAGCTCTCCTCAACAAGGAGGTTCTGCTTGCTACGGCCTTTTGAGACTTAAATTCTTGCTCTTTCTGTGAGCAAAGACCTCTCTCTGGGCAGGATGGCTCAGCCAGCCCTGTGTCCCAGATGTTCATCAGTCTGGGGGGATGGTGGTTGCAATAGCATGTGCAGAGTTAGTGAGGCCAGGGACAGACCTGGTTACTGTGTATAGGGCAGAGGAAGCCTGTGCTGATTTGACTTAATTCCAGTGTCTGTCAAGACGCAGAAGCTGAGCTAGAGAGGGAACCTAATAAGAGCAACAGGAAGCCCTTTGATAGACATTAACTATAGAAAAATGAGAGGCAGTGGCCTGAGCTAAGCTATTTTGAGTTCTTACTGCTTCATGAGAAACCACTAGTAACTGAAAAGCAAACAGCCTCGTGGCTATGGAAATAACTTTGAATGAGGTCACTGCAGACTTCTAACAGTAGGTGCATTCTGAAGAGAAAAGTTGCCATTCCTTCACTCTGAAAGGACTAGAAAATGTTGCTTATGAAGGCAGGACAAAAGCAATTATATGTAGTGTCACAATCAGGATATATGTATTTATTTATTAACACTTGAGTTTTGACTGTTCCATTCTAGGGTCCTGGTCGGAAGTCGCAGGTGCTCTTGTTGATTTCTTTGTAACTATTTGTCTGGAAAAGACAGTTCCTTTCACAAAATACCTTCCAAAAACAAATACTTCCCTCTTTGTGGAGCTTAGGAGTGGTAGAGATGTCCTGTTTACCTCAGAAACAGGATTGAGACTTGCAGTGGGAGTGAGGTTTGTTAGCTAGGAAAAGGGAGACAATGCCGGATTTGTCCATAATATATTTAGAACTGTATTTTATTGCCAGATTTCTGCTAGCAAGTTATATTCATGACCTTCCTCATAAAACATAAGAGAAGTGCAATTTCTGGTGCTTGGCAACTGGAAAATCCAAGAGGGTCTGTGCTCAAATACAGCAGCAGAGCTCCAAGATAAAGGGATTGCCACAAGCATCCCAAGCTTGTTTTGCTGAGTTCTGCAGGGAGAAAAGTAAACCTATGCAAATAGGTGTGTGCTCAGAGTCTCTTGCTCTGCTCCTGAAGGTTCTGGAGTGCTGGGCACTGCTTGTATTCAAAAGCAGATCCTTGAACACTGGCAGACTGCTGTAAGCAGAACTGTAGGTACCCAAAAGACCATAACAAAGACCTTAATGCTGTTTCTAAATGTTCTGGCAAACTGAAAGCTTGAAAGAAACAGAGTCAGGTATGAAATAGGGTAGATATAGTTAACCTTCTGTTGGTCCCTGAATTACTGCTCTAAATGCACTTAATTCCCAGAAGCTATAGACAGTATTCACACATCCCTTGTGACTTTCTTAACCTGTCTCATCCCCTGCTTGGAGGGGAGGAAGAGTGAGAACAAAATCAAAAGAAGCATAAGCAGCTGCTAGCCTTGTGATTATCATAATAGTTATGTAAGAAACTTAGCTAACCTGCTTAGAACCAGACATGAACAAGGGCTTTTATAGAAGAGGATCCTTTAGGGATTTAAATATATTTTTAAAAAAAACTTCTGAATAAATGGAAATCAAAAACTGTTTAAATTTGTTCCTCAATATATTTGTGTTTTGTGTGATACCATTTTCAGCTGTGTAATGTTTGAGAACAGCTTCTTCTCTAGAGTTTGTTTGGGTTTGATTTTTTTTTTTTTAAGAACCGCAAGATTTTTGTGCAGACTGATCAAAACTCCTCCAGGAAGGGGGAGTGTGTAATCCCACATCACTCAGGAGGGATGAAAGTACAGTAAGAGGGATAGGAAGGGAGCACTATAACATTCTTAAAGTGCACAGAAGCTCCTCTTGCCCTGCTCCCAAAGCAGACCCTGCAGCCAGCTCCCGGTACCAGCCCTGCCGTGGGGCAGAAGGAAAAGCTGCTCCTTCCAGTGTGTTCTCATGGGACTTTCTGCTGCTTTTTAAATGAAGCTTGCAGATGTTTTTTGCCAGACGGAAGGGGCTGCAGGTTGGGACTGGCTCTGGAGGAAAGGCACAAAGGGGATTAACGTTTTGAGTCAGGAATGGGTTGGAGCAGAGAAAAGTTGGGATTTTTTTTCTTTTTTTATGCTCTTAGTCACCAAAACTGGATTTTGGTGGATGCAATTTGAGTGCAGTTAAAATGTCTCTGATTAGTGAGATGATAATTCTCTGTTCAGTGAGCTCTAAGCTGAAGAGTGATTCAGTGGGTAGAGTGTGGAAATCAGGTGACTTTTTCTGTGTGAGGAGAAGAGCAAGTAAGGGATCATCTCCTCATGAGAGTCCTCATGGGCTCTGCATACAGTAGGCCCCAAGGACTCCTCAGCATAATGAAGCACCAAGGAGCAAAGGTCCAGAGAGGCAGCCGGCAGCTGCCTCTGCAATAATCCTTCCTTTGGGAGACTGTGATCATGCTGCCAGATCCTGGGGACTGTTCTGCATCTCTAAACTTTCAGACATACTTTTTCCTTCACAAAATAGTTTTTTTGGGGGTTGGGGGTGGGAGTACGAGAGACTGACGGATTGTAACAAAGAGAGTAGATGTTTAATGACACTTCTGGACATGGGACTTGTACCAACTATGTTCCTCTGAAATGTCAGAAATGCATGTGGGAGGGAAGTTTGATTCAGACTTTCAGAGCAGCTTTATGTCTTCAGCAGAGATCTGTACCTTCATCTGTAGCCAAAAAGGAAAAGTGATGGGCACCCCTGGAACATGCTGAACTCTATACTTTGCACAGCCCAGGCCAGTCCACTCTTCCTCAGAGTTTGCTTACACCTCCAGCTCCTGTATCACTTCTGCATGTCCTCAGATACGTGTTCTTTTTCCAAACAGCATTTGTGGCTGGGTGCTTAGGGCATAATTTCATCTTTTGTCCATGGTCTCCAAACATCTGGCAGTCAGCTCAGCAGGCAAATGACCAGTACTTACAGTTGGTCACTGCATGTATAGCAAGTCAGTTGTTAGACTAACTGTATATTCTCTGATCAACAACACAACAGAATGCAGCACATCTGGGGAACACAGAAGTTACACTGTGAGCGAGAAAAATGGGAGCATTAATTCTGTCCCTGTGTAGAGCTGTTACTGACAGAACTCACCCCTAATTCAGAGACAGGATTTTATGCAGTCAGTTCTTGGGGGCAAGAAATGCCTTTGTCTCTTATACAGAGCACCAGCCTCTGCTCTGCTCATGACTGGAGCTTCCAGCTTCACAGGAATAAAAATCACAAAACCAGCAGTCAGTTTATATTACACATATCACTTCAGGCGCTTCTGCTTT